AGGACGTGCTCCAACGGAGCACGTCCTGCCTTCCTCTGCAGGGGAGAACAGGTCTCTGCCCACCTCCATGTGACATCCCCTCACACACCTGTATGTCGCCAACAGATCCCCTCTGAGTCTCCTCCAGGCTGAAGAGACCCAGTTCCCTCAGTCTCGCCTCATAGGGCATCCCCTGCAAACCGGCCACCAACCTTGTGGCCCTTTGAAACTCTGACTTTAGCCTGGCTATATCCTTCCTGTAATGAGGGGCCCAAACCTGAGCACAATTCTCCAGTTGCGCGCGCAGCAGAGTCGCATAGAGGGGCAGTGATACCTCTCTCGATCTAGAAGCCACGCTTCTGGCTGTGCAACCAAGGGTGGCGTTCGCCCTCTTGAGCGCCGCGTCACACGGCTGGCTCACGTTCAGCCTGCGGCCGACCAGATCCATTTGGCGGGGGGGAAAGTGTGTTTCCCACAGACCAGGGACGGAAAAGATGCCAAGAAGCAAGAGCCTGACTGAGCCCTGGGCAGAGGGGGCAGCCAGGTGGGGAGACTCGGGGTTGCTGTCTGGTCTGGAAGGGGCTGTGCTTGCTTGGAAGGATTGGCTCTGCAGCCTGGTGCAAGGCTGTCCCTGGATCTTCAGGGAATGCCGGCGGTAAGGAATGTTTTGCAGCCGTTCCTGAGCCACCCCGACTTAGCAGGTGTGACCCAGGCCTGGGAGGGACTGCCTTAGAGGAGCCCAGTGCTGCCCTGGAAGGGAGTCCGAAAACTTGCCAGCTTTAGCAACCTCCGCGATTTAGAGCAGCTCCCGCAAACTTGGGGCCGCCTGGAATTTCCTGCCAGGCACCCGGCAGCCGAGTCCTGCCTCTCCACCCCTGCAAAATCAGCGCAAATGCAGCATTTAAGGAGCCCCGCCGGGCGAGGCCTTTGCCCTTCGTGGCTGGCAGGCCATTTCCACCTGGGTGGGAGGCAGGCCTGAGCCAAGGCTTTAGTTCAGGGGTGGGGAGACCCCTGGCCAGAACCTGGCCCTCTTTCCTGTCGCCCATCCCCAGCCCTTGTGCTGCTTTCCCCTTCCCCGCAGTGCCGCTTCGTGCTGGCGGTGAGGGCGCTAAGGAATTTCCAGCGCAGTTCAGTTTGGCCTCTTGGCAACATGTGCTCCGGCTGCCCGCCCGCCCCTCTTGCCTTCAGCCCCAGCTGGCACTGCCACGTGGCCCCCGAGATCATCTCCAAACTGAAATCTGGCCCGTGGGTCAGAAGAGGTTCCCCACCTCTGCTCTAGGCATCACCTGCACGTTTTCAATGAGGACTAGACTCTTGGTGTCAAAGAGGAGCAGCTGAAATTCTTACTTGCCTGCAGATGCTATTAAAACCCTCAAATAAATGACCAGTGTTCTAATTTAAAGATATCCAGGAGGGAGGAAGTAGGTTTGTGCCCGAAAAGCACCCCAGCCAACAGGAGGAAAAAAACTAGCGTGCCCTTTTCTGCATTATGCGATGTTTTTTAACCTCCCTTTTTCCTGACTGCCTAGGTAGCACCGCCCTTCACCTGGCCACCATCGCTTGCCAGCCGCAATGTGTGAAAGTCCTCCTGCAGGTAAGAAGCCTCACCGCCGTGCGCCTGCTCTCCCTCCAGGGGAGCCGAGTTCAGTTAAGACTCAACATCCAACCCTAGAATCGTTTCAGCCCTGGAACATGGGAGTTGGAAGAAAAGAGTGACTCTGGGCATGTGCAAAGTTCTTCTCTCGCTTGTCTGGTTTTGAGGGCCTGAATAGGTTTGCCCACCTAAGATTTTTTTTCCAGTCTTAGGTGAATTTAAGTTTTGTATTTTCCAACCCAATGCAAAGCAGATGCATAAAAGTAGCAAGTTAGCAAGTTAATGTTCTGCTTGCACGGGACTAAGCGCAGCTACACTGAATGAGACTTGCTTCTGAGTAGGTATGCATAGGATTGCACCGTAAATGGGCAGCGGTGGACTGCGATTTTATTTTCTCGCTTTCAGTGTCAGTGATGGCCATGTGAATGCTATGTACACAATGCCTAACGTTTTCCAGGTGATGTGGAAGGCCCGTGTGGCAGATGGGTTAGAGCATCGGATCAGGACTGGCGAGATCCAGGTTCTGGCCCCTATTCAGCCTTGAAGCTTGCTAGGTCCCTTTGGGCCAGTCACTGATGCTCAGCCTGGCCTACCTCGCAGGGCTGTTGGGAGGAGAAAAATGGAGGGAGAGGGTTCTGTCAGCTGCCTCGACTTCCTTGCAAGAGGGAAAACTGTGTTGTAACAGTGACGAATAATACATCTGAATATTTGTAGAGCAAGCCTGGCCTTGCACTCAAACCTACAATTAGGCCCTGGAAGGAAATGCAGCCTGGAGCAGCGAGAGCTCAGGGGAGGGGATCCGGACTCTCCTGTGGCCCCTGAGCTGCCGTCAGGGGGCCTTGAGGTTCCCCTTAAGCGTCTTCGGAAACAAAATCTAGATCAGGACAAAGAGGGAAGCTGGTGGATACTGACGGAAGCATCCTTCTCTGCAGTTGCTGCGACTTTATTGTCCGATGTTGTTTTTTCTTTTTCCTGGTTTCTGTGTTCTGAACTTTTGTCAGCTGCCCAGGCTGCCTTGCCATGGGGCGGCGTGAAAACGGAAAACACACACCTGCCTTTGGAGGTGGTCAGCTTGGAAAGACTGCTCAGAATAAAGAATAAACCAGACTGGCCCAGGTGGGGAGCCACCTAACAGGTGCTCTGCTGAGAGAGTATTGCATGAGACAACACCTGCCCACGAGGCAGTTTATGGCAGCAATAATGATCGAAATAATAAATCATTTTCCCAGAGATTTTGTAAGGCTTACCCGGGAGGTACTCTCAGCACGGAGGTGGCTGGGAACCTGAGGAGCAGGGTGGGGACTGAAACGGGAGAAGGGAATGGCGACAGGAGAGGGTGTGTTGCGAAGAGTGTGGAAACTGGGCATTCCTGCTCTGTGGCTCATTCCCCGGCTGCTCCTTGGGACGGGAGCCCGAGGCGAAGAGGCCGAGCCAGCCTTCGGTGCGGCTGCAAAGCTCCCAAAAGCATCCCGCTTGGAATGGGAGGGACGGGCTCGCCGGCAGAGGGTTCCGTCCTGCGGCTCCTGCATGCGGCTGTCGGATCTCTTCCTGCCTAAGCAAGCACAGGGCTGGTCCTTGGGGAGATCTTGTGAAATGGAGGCACCCGGGCCGCTGTTTCTCAGGACAGGGAAAGGTCACAGCTCAGGAACGTGGGAACTGCTGCCCACGGAGCCTGCCCTCGGCCCCTCCGGCCCCACTGGGCCAGCCCTGCAAACGGCAGCAGCGCGCCTGCCGGGGTCTCTGCAGGAGCTTCCCAGGAGACGCCTGAATCCGCCGTGGGCCCCCTGCATGCCGAGGGGAGTTCATCCACCGAGCCAGCCGCCCCCCCCTTGGACCAGGAGGAACGTTTGTGCTGCCACAGAAACATAAGCTGCACTTCTGTCCTGCCAGATGAGGGACTGGAAGGACGGAGTCTCCTCTCCTCGCAGCCAGAACCTGCCCCAGGGAGACTCTAGGGCACTCTGCATGCACACGTCTCGCCTGTCGGGGCCACCCCTCTCCGGAGGTCCACGGGGAGCAAAGCGCACGTGATCATGGGGCATTTTGGAGCTGTGGGCCTGCCATGGCTTTGCAGGCACAGTCTTGATGGGACTCGTCCCCCTGCCTGGATCTGTCCCAACACGACAACCGACACCTGAGGCTTTCCCCGAGTACCGCCCCCGAGGGAGACTTGGAGGGTGGCAGCCGGGAGGGCGGTCTTTTCGGTGGTGGCCCCCAAATGAGGCCTCCCCGGTGCCAGCCCTGTCATCTTCTTAGTTGCAGGTCAAGACTTCCCACTTTTCCAAGGCGCTGAATGGCGTTTCGTGGTTTAGTGAAAATGGCTTTATTTTCCTCTGTTTGTATACTGTATAAAACTTGTTCTCCTCGGTTTGTATATTGGTAAAATGTTCTGCAGTTTCATTATGCTGAGCTCCATCTTTTTAGTTCTCCAGAGAGCGTTGGCTCTTCGGCAGTATGAACAGGAACCAAGCAACAGATAGATAGATAGATAGATAGATAGATAGATAGATAGATAGATAGATACGTGCCGATGAAACAGCGACACCCGGGATGCGGTGATGCTGCGAGAGCCGTCCCAAGTCCTGCCAGAGGGGGAGGTTTTGCCCAGATGGAGGGAAAGGGTGTTAGGACAGGGTCTTTGTTGCTGGTTCCTCATGCCAAGTCTGAGCGCTGCGAGCGAAGGCACCCTGTTTGCCGGTCAAGGGCACGCCTTTCCCCGCAGTCTTGCCCCGCTGAGACTGACGCATTTTCAGCCTTCCCGGCTTCTTCCAGCCGTGTCAGTTCCAGGTGACTTGTGCGTCATTAGCAGCCACTTCGCTCTCTGGGTTTGTGCGGTGGGTGGGAATGGGTGCGTTTTTAAATGCCGAACTGTTTCCTGCAGCATGGAGCGAACGAAGACTGCGTGGACAGAGAGAACCGCACGCCTCTGCACTGGGCCGGTGAGTCCCAGAGAAGAGCATTTCTTGAGCACCTGTTTGGGCACCGTTTGAATCGGGAATCCAAGCCGTGAGCAGGAGCCGAAGGGAAAGCGAGATCGCAGCCGGGATGACACGCTCGCTGGGTTGTGGCTGATCCTTTCACTGCTGCTCCGAACCACAAAACCGCTCGCAAGCAGTTTGAGTTTTTCACGAGCATCTTTGCCTTCAGGACAGCCCAGTCTTGACTAGCACGATTGCCATGTATTTTGTGCTCAGACTCTGGGATTGCAAAGTGTCTTGCTCAGCCACGTCTTCCAGAGCTCAGCTTCTCTAAAACAAGTTACTTGCAAGGCCTATGAGAGATTCGATAGCTCGAATCTAGCCTCTTACAGGCAGTCCTGCTTAACTGCCCAGAACGGAGACTTGTAGGCCTTTTTCTGTTTAAACTTGCATAGGATTGTGTCCGAAGGTGCTTCTAGAAAGAGGGCTCCTGGTTCTACCAGGAAAACGTAGTTGTCTTGCTGTTCTGCCTTTTTGCCTTCCTGGATCTTGAATGGAAAGGAAAAGGAGAGAATGACGGGAGTCCTGCAATTCCCAGCAATCCTCAGGACCCTTTTCTGGTCCTACGATGCCTCAGATTGTGCCCTTAAAGTCTGAGGGTGTCCAAAATGGAGCTCAGCCCTGAGTACAAATTTGCTGCAGAGTAAGTTCAACTGAATAATTACAATCTTTAGTTGCCTGTTTGTAAAGAGCAAGCTTGCTGCTCTGTTTATGAATGATGAAGGGTTCTAACTGGCCAGGAAGTAAGCGGCTCGGCAGAGATACTTGTGACGATAATGTTGCAAAAAGCTTAATCCTGGCTCTCCCTCTTTAAACCCGTTCTCCACAGCCTCCTCTGGGTGTGCGTCCAGCGTTTTGCTGCTGTGTGACCAAGAGGCCTTCTTGGATGTCATGGATAATGTACGTCTTCTGGACAGGTTTGCTTGGTGTGTGAAAACGTGGTCAGGAGCAGGCCAGCCTCCTTAGCAAACCAGGAGTGCATCCTGGCTGGCTGAGACATGGTCGATATGGGCAGGACTTTTGCTGCCTAAACGGCACTCTTGAACTTAAGAGTTCACTCCTTTGAACTTAATTCATTGCAGGGGGCCGTTTGAACTCTGAATCGTTTGAAGTCTAAAGCAACGTTCCCCACTAGAAATAATGGAAAGCGAATTAATCAATTCCCAGACCCTCAACAATACCTATGTTGTTACTGAGGATGATCAAAAAGGCACTGAGAACGAATAAAAAGGCACTGACACTTTTTTTACTGTGCCTGCAGTTTGAACTTAGAAGCACTCTTTGACCTTCAGAACAATCTTATCTAGATTTTAGTATTCAGACTCTGGAACATTTGCCCTTAGGGGCGTTTGAAGTTCGAGGCACCACTGCCGTCTTTCCTGTGGGTTGACCGGGCAGCTCCGGGTTTCAAGGGTCCTCCAGCGGGACACCCTCACTGCCCCCGCCACGCTCCGTCAGCCCTTCTCCCCCCTTTCCCTGATCACGGCGGCATGCCCCAGTGTCCCCGCTCGCTGCTTGCTGGCCAGACAGAACCGTGGGGCAGACAGGTGCTTCTCCTGCCCCTCCCGCTGCCCAGGTGTGCCCCGCTTCCTCCCCAGAGGGCAGGGTGACGGGCTGCCGCCCAACGGTCCCGGGGCCGAGGCCTGCCCGGTTTAGGATCCGCCTGAGAACAGGCTCCTGACAGACGGGGAGGGAGGTTCGAGCCGTGTCCGTGTCTGCGCTGCCCGGGGCCTCCTCCAGGAGGGCTTCCCTCGCCGCTCTGGGCTTGCCGTCCTCTGCCCCTGCCCTGCAGCACCGCCCGCCCGCCCGCCCTGACGTGCCTCTTCTCGCGTTCTCTGCAGCACGGACGGACGCCGCTCATGATCGCCGCGCAGGGCGGCCACCCGACCATCTGCTCCCAGCTGCTCCAGAGAGGGGCCGCCGTCGACCTCCTCGACAGGGAGGGGAAGTGAGTACCCGCCCCGGACCAGAGCCGGGGCTTGGCTTGCCTGTGGGGTGGAGACAGGCCGAGGCATCCCCGGGATTGGAACGCAGGGCGCCCTGCCCTTCGCTTGCCTGCGCCCGGGACGGGCTGCAACCCCTCCCAGCCAGAGCGGCCCCACGTGCCCTCCCGGTCACAGCCTAGGATGGGGGCAGCGAGAAGCAAGCCTCTGCATCCTTCCTTCCTTCTTATTTAAGCAAAGACATAGGGGAAGGCCAGCCCGGCATGTGTGCGATTGCAGATCCTCGTTTGATTATTTATATTTAAAATATTTATTATCCATTCTTACAATAAGGTGGTACTTATTCCCAGATATTTAGTGTCATGGCTACAGAAGCAAAGCCTGCTTTATTCTTGCGGTCACGATGGCAGCATGATTTGGGTGGGCTTAAAACAGGAAGAACATGAGCCTCTTCAAAGTTTCTTTTGTTTTTGCATAGAATATGCACCCAGATTTTTTTCCATCTATAACATATTAAGCTCTTAGAGACAGTTGTAAAGCACGGAATGTCACTGCCAGACGGCACAAGTTTTAAAACGCTTTTATCATGGTCGGGATTGGCTCTGCTTCTCCTCCGAAAGAGCCTCCCAGGACGGTTGGATCGGTTCTGATCCAGCAGAGTGGGGCCAGATCCACAGCGGGAGGGCACCCTACATGGCTTGACCAGGGAGGAGGAAAAGCCATGGAGGTCGAGGGGGCCACAAACAGCTTTAGCCAGGACCACTAAATAGAGCTTCCAAGTCCAGTGGCAGTGTAACTGTGGAGATGCCGTCCCCTGGTCAGCTGGGAAAGGACGGCTAATTTTGTGCGTTCTGCCGGCAAGGGCCAGAAACACGGACAGTCCCTTGGGCTGGAAGACACCGCCAAAGTGCCTTCCGCTTGGCTCCACGGATTTCTCTTCCCCTCCGCCCCGTCCAGGACCGCGCTCATGTTGGCCTGCGAAAGTGGGAGCACCGAGTCGGCGGAGCTGCTCCTGCAGAGCGGCGCGCACGTGGGGCTGGCCGACAGCACGGGCCGCGACGCGCTGCACTACGCCACGCAGGCCCGGAGCCGGCCCCTGCGGCGGCTCATCCGAAGCGCCCTGAAGAGGTGGAAGAGGAGAGGTGGGTTCTTTTATCTGGGGTGCCGCGTCTTGGCCTTAGTGGCGGGCAAAAATCCGTCTTCTCTTCGCTGATCAGAAATCCTTTGGCAGGCGGGGAAATGCTGCAGCTACCCGGGCGGGAAAACTTGTAAAGGGAAAGTGCAGGATGGGAGGAAAGGTGTGCTTTGCGGCTTCTCCCTCTCTGCTGCGGATGCCCCAAAGCCTCCATGTTCTAGGGCCTTTGGGTTCCCAATGGGATTGCACCCCAATTCATTAGAACGGCTTTGCCCTCCAGGGCAGCTTAAAAATCTTTTAAAATACAGTTTAAAGGGAAAAAAAAACATACATTTTCAGCCAGGATGAACATGCTGTCTGCAATTGATTTGGGAGCTGTTTTTTAATTATGGCAAATGCAGAGATACCGCCTACTAATAATCTTAAGAAAATAATTCATGATTTCATTTTATCCATTGTAACTCATTGTTATTTTCTGTGCTCTGTACTAAGAGAGGCTAAATTTTGGTCCCCTATACACCTGATTAAAGGTGCTACCTTATACACATTTAACCAGGGAAAAAACTCTCCAACTCCCAGTATGGCTCACCCAGCTCTGCTGGAAGCATGCTGGGTACTGTAGTCCCTTTTTTCTGCCTAAACTTGTGTAGGATTGCACTCTAAGCCGACCCTCACATTCTAAACCGATTTTTAAAAAGTAAATTGTGCTTGGCAAATATGGGGGGAAGCCCCAGGAAAATGGTGCCAATCCTCCTTCAGGGAACTGTTGTGAAGATAAAGGAGGGAACTCTTTGGAGGAAGGGAGGGGATGGGAAGGCAACTGACGATTTGTTTTTACCGATTTGTGGACCTGCCAGTTTTCGATGTCCCACAGCAGATTAGTGTGTCAATAAAAACAAAATTCAAGATGGGAAATGCAGTGAGAAGCAGCAAACTGAATACTCCGTGGACGAGGGTCCTGAGGATAGACTCTCTCTTGCGGTGTCTCTGATTATATATTTTTAGTGATTGATTTAAAATGTTTTTATGCCTCTCCTCGATTAAAGTTTCCCCAAGCAGGTTCCATTCAATCATGAAAAGAAGACGGGCTCTGCTCACACATGCTGCAATCTAAAGGCACAACACATGTACCTTTAGAAGGATGGCTGGGGAGGGCAGAGGAAAAGCGAGCACTCGCAGCAGGGCTGCTGGAACAGCTCTACTTCCCCCAGCCGTCTTGCTCTGTCCAGCCGCTGGAAGGGCTGGTGGAGCTGGCGAGGGACGACAAAGCTTCTGGGGAGGCTGTTTCCGGCTGTGCTGCTGCCCTCATCCCCCTCGTTCTCCTATTTATGAGCATGCCATCCTGAGTGAACTCATGTTGGTGGTTGTTGTCAGTCGCGAAGTCGTGTCCGACCCATCGCGACCCCATGGGCAACATTCCTACAGGCCCCCCTGCCCCCCACCATCCCCTGGAATCCACTCAAGCTCACACCCACTGCCCCAGTGACCCCATCCAGCCCCCTCATCCTCTGCCCTCCCCTCCTTCTTTTGCCATCCATTGTTCCCAGCATCAGGGTCTTCTCCAGGGAGTCCCTCCTTCTCGTTAGGTGGCCCAAGTATTTGAGTTTCATCTTCAGCATCTGGCCTTCTAAAGAGCAGCCAGGGTTGATCTCCTTTAGGACTGACCGGTTTGATCGCCTTGCAGTCCAAGGGACTCGCAGGAGTCTCCTCCAGCACCACAACTCAAAGGCCTCAATCCTTCGGCACTCAGCCTTCCTTCTGGTCCAGCTTTCACAGCCATACATTGCAACTGGGAAAACCATAGCCTTGACTATATGTACTTTTATGGACATGGTGATGTCTCTGCTTTTTTAGTATGCTGTCTAGATTTGCCACAGCTTTCCTCCCGAGGAGCAAGCGTCTTTTAATTGCTTGGCTGCAGTCCCCATCAGTGGTGATCTTGGAGCCCAGGAAAATAAAATCTGTCACTACCTCCATTTCTTCCCCATCTATTTGCCAGGAAGTGAGAGGACCGGATGCCATGATCTTAGTTTTCTTAATGTTGAGTTTCAAGCCAGCTTTTGCGCTCTCCTCCTTCACCCGCATCAAGAGGCTCTTTAGTGCCTCTTTACTTTCTGCCATGAGAGTGGTATCATCTGCATATCTGAGGTTGTTGATATTTCTCCCAGCAATCTTAATTCCAACTGGTGATTCATCCAGCCCCGCCTTTCTCATGATGTGCTCTGCATGTAAGTTGAATAGGCAGGGTGACAGTATACAGCCTTGCCGAACTCCTTTCTCAATTTTGAACCAATCAGTGGTTCCATGCCCAGTTCTCACTGTTGCTTCTTGACCCGCATATAGGTTTCTCAAGAGACAAATAAGATGGTCTGGTACTCCCATCTCTGAGAACTTGCCACAATTTGTTGTGATCTACACAATCAAAGGCTTTAGCACAGTCAATGAAGCAGAAGTAGATGTTTTTCTGGAACTCCCGAGCTTTCTCCATGATCCAGCGTATGTTGGCAATTTGATCTCTAGTTCCTCTGCCTCTTCGAAACCCTGCCTGTACTTCTGGTAGTTCTCGGTCCACATACTGCTGGAGCCGAGCTTGTAGGATTTTGAGCATAACTTTGCTAGCACGTGAAATGAGTGCAATGGTGCGGTAGTGTGAACATTCTTTGGCATTGCCCTTCTTTGGGATCGGAATGTAAACTGACCTTTTCCAATCCTGTTGCGTTTTCCAAGTTTGGCTGAGGGGTTTTGTTTTGTTTTGTTTTTTTAATTGCTTTGTTTTCTTTCTTTGTTCGTTTTTGTTTTGTTTTGTTTTGTTTTGTTTTGTGCTGTTCTGTTCTGTGCTTTGCTTTGCTTTGCTTTGCTTTGCTTTGCTTTGCTTTGCTTTGCATTGCATTGCATTGCATTGCATTGCATTGCATTGCATTGCATTGCATTGCTTTGTTTTTCCTCCAATTTAAATTTTATTTAATCCCTGTGTGTAGGTTTTTCTCTGGGAGAACTGGGCGAGTGGGAGGAACTGCAGGACAGACAAGGCGGGGGACCAAGGAAGGGTCTCTGAGGGGCTCCCGATGGCAGGCCAGGAGACGGCCTTGGCGGGAGTCACGGGGGTTGCTGTCCGCTGCGAGAGCTGCGACATGTCCGCCCTCCTCCCCCAGGAGAGGCAGGGCTACACTTGCCCTCGGTGCAAGATGGTGGCCCTGCTAGAGGAGGAGCTGAGGGGCCTGAGGGCCGAGAGAGCTCTCCAGGGCCCCCGGAGCAGCCCCCTCTGGACAGAGGGTCGAGGGAGAGGCCACGGGAGGAGCAGCCGGGGAGACATGGAGGCGTGTCACCCACAGGAGGGGGAGGCCAGCACGGCCTCCTCCTTCCCTGGCACCGATCTGGAGCTGGAAACGGGTTCTCTCCACCTGGGGAGGCTGGGGCTGATGCGGCCTCGGGGGACCAGCAGGACCCCCAGCCTGGGATGTCAGGCGGCAAGGGAGCTGCTGCATGAGAGACAAGGGCAGCCAGGTCACGTCGCTTCCTAGAAGCTATAGAGGGAGGGTTTTTCACACAGAGGGTCCGAGAGGCGGCGAGGGGGGGGAAACATCCTTGACTTGGTCTTGACCAATAGGGAGGAGCTGATAGATGAAGTACAGATTAGGGGAGCTCTGGGTGCGAGTGATCACTCCATCCTTTGCTTTGAGATCAGGGGACTGCGGACATGCAGCAGGTCGAGCACTAGAAGCTGGGACTTCAAGAGGGCCAACTTTGGCCAACTGAAGGCCAGACTGGGGAAAGTCTCCTGGGATGGGTTACTGGAAGGTAAGCGAGTTGAGGAGGGGTGGATGGCACTCAAAGGGAGATTTTGGAGGCGCAAGCCTTGACGATACCTCTAGTCAGTAAGGTGGGGAGGCGGAGGAGAGCGCCACCATGGATGCGAAAGGAGGTGGTTAGAGGGATTAGGCGGAAGAGGAGCCTCCGTAGGAAATGGGTACTGGGGGAAATAGACAAAAGGGTGTACCGGGAGGAGGAGGCCCGTTGCAGAAGGATTCTTCGCAAGGCTAAGGCTGATTTTGAGCTGAGACTTGCCAAGAATATCAAGAGCAACAGAAAGGGCTTCTTTCAGCATGTGAATAGGAAGAGGAAGGGGAGACAAGTGGTGGGACCACGAAATAAGGAGGAAGGAGATCCAGTGACTGATATGAGGGAACAGGCACAGACGCTAAATTACTATTTTGCCTCTATGTTCTCCCCAAAGCAGGACGGGGGATATCCGCCTAGGAGATTAGATGAGGCTGGGGACTTAGGGGCACGGATTAGAGTCACCCCCCCCCTTGAAGTCGAGGGGCTCCTCAGGGCATTGGACATTACAAAGGTGCCAGGCCCTGACGGGTTACACCTGAGAGTACTGAGAGAGTTGTCAGGGGTTCTCTCACACCCGCTGGCCTCCATTTTTGAGACCTCGTGGAGAATGGGTGAAGTTCAGAGGACTGGAGGGTGGCATCAGTGGTCCCAATTTTCAAAAAGGGTAGTAGAAGGGACATGGGGAATGATAGACCGGTTAGCCTTACGTCCATTGCAGGAAAAACAATGCAAAGGCTCATAATAGAGAGAGATCTAGTGATGCTCGATAGGGAAGGGAGGCTGACAGCCACACAACACAGCTTCCGCAAAAACAGGTCCTGCCAGACAAACCTTGTGGAATTCTATGACAAGGTTTCGAGGTGGCTGGATGGAGGGGGTGCAGTGGATGTGGTTTACCTGGATTTCAGCAAGGCCTTGACAGAGTGCCCCATGATATCCTGGTGGAGAAACTGAGGAGTTTTGGGATACACCAAAGCACTGTCCGGTGGATTAGGGCATGGTTGACTGACTGAAAGCAGAGGGTAACCATTAGTGGGGAATCATCGGGATGGCGGCCAGTGACAAGCGGGGTCCCCCAGGGCTCTGTCCTGGGGCCGATCCTGTTTAATCTTTTCTACCAGCCTGTGCCCTGCTTCATTTTGTACTCCAAGGCCAAACTTGCCTGTTATTCCGGTTATATTTTGGCTTCCTACTTTAGCATTCCAATCCCCCATGATGATAAGGACATCATTTTTTGGTGTTAATTCTAGAAGGTGTTGTAGGCCTTCATAGAACTGGTCAACTTCAGCCTCTTCAGCGCCAGTGGTTGGGGCATAGACTTGGACTATTGTGAATGGTTTTCCTTGGATTCGAACTGAGATCACTCTGTCATTTTGGAGATTGTATCCCAGTACTGCTTTTCCTATGAAGGCAACTCCATTTCTTCTGAGGGATTCTTGCCCGCAGTAGCATACCTGATGGTCACCTGAATTAAATTCACCCATTCCTGTCCATTTTAGTTCACTGATTCCCAAGATGTCGATGTTCAGTCTTGTCATCTCTTGTTTGACCACGTCCAGCTTGCCTTGATTCATGGATCTTACATCCCAGGTTCCTATGGAGTATAGATCTTTGCAGCACTGGACTCTCCTTTCACCACCAGATACATCGGCAACTGAGTGTCCTTTCGGCTTTGACCCAGTCGCTTCATTCTTTCTGGCGCTACTAGTACTAGCCCTCTGCTCTTCCCCAGTAGCACATTGGACACCTTCCGACCTGAGCGGCTCATCTTCCGGCGTCATATCTTTTTGCCTTTTGGTACTGTCCATGGGGTTTTCATGGCAAGGGTACTGGAGCGGGTTGCCATTTCCTTCTCCAGTGGATCACAATTTGTCAGAGCTCCCTGCTATGACCTGTCCGTCTTGGGTGGCCCTGCACGGCATAGCTCATAGCTTAATTGAGCTACGCAAGCCCCTGCGCCACAACAAGGCAGTGATCCATGAAGGAGTGAATTCATGTTAACCCAGCAATGGTTGACCCAGCAGGCCCCTTTGCAGAGCCCACGAGCAGGACCTGAGGGCAGAATCCTTCCCCCGACATGTGTTCCTCTGCAACTGGTAGACTTCCTTGAAACCTGGAGGCTCCATTTCAAGCTGCCCAAGGCGGAGTCCATCCCCATGCCTTGGCGCAGTGCACCCACTTGCCGTCCTTTCCTCTGCTAAACCTTGCCCTCCACCTGTGGCTGCAGGTGGACTTAACTGCTAACCCTCACAGCACCGCACCTGCCCTCCGCACCTCGGCAAAGGCAGCCTCGTGAATGCACGTCCTTACAGGATTTCCAAGCGCCACTCAGCACCACTGGGAATAAGTCAAGTGTACCGGTGTGCTACAGGGGAGCCAGCTTCTCTGAAACGATTAGGCTGTTTGTGAGCTCCCGCATCACAGATGACTGAAACTATAATGGCGCGTCTCAGGACTTTGTTTTCCTGCTCAGTTGTGGGGTCCTGTGCTAGTTTCTGGGGGGCCGCCCCGCAACCCTTTACACAAGAGCAGCAGCCACCGCGGGGCAGTCCCAACTCTTGGTGTGGCCCCGCAGGCACCGACAGGGCCCGACTGTCCGCTCTCCCTCCGAGTCCCTTGTGGGGCTGGGCGTGGAGGGCCGTGGCTGGCAGGCCGTGCACGTCCCAGGGCCGTCCCACACGCGGCGGCCCCTGTCCTTGGCCAGAAGGAAACTTGGGCAGGACTCCTCGGGGTGCCTGGACATGTCTGGTCCCCAAGGCTCCCCAGGAGACGTGGCTCAGATCTTGCTTCTCCATTTCCACAGAGCAAGGCCTCGACACGTCCCTGGAGTCTGGCTCGCAGGTAAGGGGGCAGCGTTGCTGGCAAACAGCAGGTTATGGGGGGCGTCCGATCCTCGGGGGCAACACAGCCGGGCCCCGTCTCTGCTTCCTGAGGGCGGTGGGAGGGCCCACTGGCCGCATCCCCGCCGGGGCCGGGGCAGGAGAGATGGAGGCTGTGCATCAGCCACATGGGATTCGTGGGCTCCCCGCAGGCAGCAGTGGTTCTGGTTCACGAGGCATCGGATCGTGGTGGCGCTCGGTGCCCGCAAGATCCGGGGCTCAAACCGGACGCTGCATGTGCTAATTTTCCCGTGCAAAGAGAAGTGCGAAGCAGCAGGCTCTCGCATTTCACAACAGCCCCAGCAGAACCTCCCTCTTCTGGCCTGGCCTCGGTTCTGCTCGCTGTGCTGACAGGCCCCACACAAAAACCGGCCCTGGCCAGATGATTGCTAGCAGCAAAGCCCTGGGGCACGAGCGGGGGGGGGGGTGTTTCAGAACCCTGTTTGTGCCTCCAGGTCCCCTCTGAGAGTGGAAGAGAGACAGACGCGAGCAGCTTCACCTTCCCGAGCGAGGGAGGAGAGTGCAGTGATGGGGAGGAAGAGGAAGAGGACCCAGAGCTGAAGGAGTGGAGGAGCCGGTACCGGGACGAGAAGATGAAGGTCATTCAGCTGGAGCTGCAGTTGGCCCAGAAGGCGAAAGAGTGCGAGGCCCTCTCGGAAGGGCGGAAGGGGATGAACGAGAGGATATGGGGCCAGGTGCAGGAGATCAACCAGCTCCTTCCGGAGGAGGGCGGCCGGAGCGAGGACTGGAGGGATCCGAGCCGGAGGTACAGCCGCGATGCGACCGAAGAAGACTATTACCTCAACCTTTTAGCTGAGCAGGTCCAAGAGCTGAAGAAAAGGATGGTGCAGCAGCAGCAGGCCCGGGAGAAAGGAGTGCCACCGATGGCAGCGGCGGGAGAACCAGGGGAAGAGGAGCCGAAGGCTGTCACGGGGCCGGAGGAGAAGGCGCAGTGGCCGGGGGAGGAAGAGGCGGAGGAATGGAAGCGGCAGGAAACGGAGCTGAAGCGCCTCCGGGCCGAAGTGGCCGCGGTCCTCGAGGAGAAGGCGAGTGCGGCAAGGAGGGTGGAGGAAGTCGAGGGCCACATGGAGAACATGCGGGCCGTGATTGGCGTCTACGAGGCCAAGAAGAAGAGCCAGAGCACGGCGCTGAAGGGCCTGCAGGCACGTGTCCAGGAGCTGAACGGCGAGAACGAGCAGCTCCGTGGGCTCCTGGCGAAGCACCTGGGAGCGTGTGAGAAAGGCCGGCGACCAGCGCTCGGGCCCGCTCGCGAGGAGGTGTCCCGGTTCCTGGCAGAGCTGGAGGAGCTCTGCCGCAGAGTGCAGGAGGAGACCTCAGCGGTGGTGGCCGAGAATCAGGCCCTGAAGGGCGAGGCGGAGGATTCCCTCCGGAGCAAACTCCAGTTCCAGGCCGTGCCGTCTGGAGCAGTCAGAAGGAGCGTGTCCGCTTGGAAGAAGGTCGTTGCGGGCCTGGAGCGCGTGCTGGCCAAGATGGAGCAAGCCAACGCCACCCTCCTGGAGAAAGCCAGGTCTCTCCAGGGAGCCACTGTGGGCGCCCCATCCGGAGTTGTAGTCAATGGCAACGGGCGTCACGAAGAGAACGGTGTCCTGCCGGACGAGGGACCTGTGCCGCCAGACAACCCCAAGGTCCCCGAGGAGCCGGAAGAGCTGGAGGCAGGGAAGAACCACCTCCAAAATGGCTCCGGCGGGCAGGTCAAGCTTAGGCCGAAGCCTGACCTGGCAGAAAGGAAGGGCCGCCCGTGCCGGAAGAGCGCCGACCTCGAGAAGGAGGTGTGGGATCTCAAGCAGAACAACGGCAGCCTCATGAAGGAACTGACGCAGCTCAGCCGGGAAAGGGAGAAGCTCCAGGAGCAACTGCGGAGCCTGAGTCGCCCCGCGGACGGGCCTTCTCCAGCGGGGAGCCTGGTGGAGGAGCTGAGGCAGGCCGTGGCATCCCTGTCCCAGCAGCTCTCGGCGGAGAAGGAGGAATCGCGGGCCCTGCGCCTGAGTCTGGAGGCCCAGCGGAAGGAGATGGTGGGGGTGCGGGACAGCTTCCTGAAGAAGGTGGCCCAGGAGGCCGGCGGCATCGTGGGCGAAAGCCTCGACTCCTGCATTCTGCAGGAGCTCCACTGGAAGCTGGACAACGTGGTGAAGAAGCAGAACAAGGCCCTGCAGCTGGTGTCCGAGATGGAGGAGGAGAACCTGGCCCGTGAGGCCGACCGGACACTCCTGGCTGACCGCAGCGGCCGCAGCACCCTCGCGGCTGGCGAAGCCGCCCCGCAGGACCCCCTGCCTGAAGCCCCAGACGCCGGCGGGGACAGCCTGAGAGTGAGGCAGCGGATGAGCGAGGTGAAGGCCGACCTGGAGCACCTGCGGGAGGCCTTGGAGGGGGCCCAGGCCTCTCTGGGTGGGAGAGGCAAGGAGCTCGCCCAGGTGAAGCAGCTCCTGGGCCGGCTGGCCACCGGGATGGCCGAGCTGTGCCAGGAGGAGGAGGAGGCCCTCCGGAAGCATGAGAAGGTCCGCGGCATGCTGTCCCTCCGGGCCCAGGCGCTGGCGGAGGAACTGGCTGCCCTGCAGGAGAAATACGAGGCCGCGAGGGGGGAGTCTGCCCGCGACAAGGAGGCCCTGGCCTCGGAGAGGCACAAGAGCCAGGAGCTGCTGGCCGAGGCGGCCGAGCACGAGGAGCTGGCGGAGGAGCTGCGCGGGAAGTGCCAGGCGGTGGAGAGCGTGGCCGAGAAGCTGAGCAGGCGGGTGGAGGAGCTGTCCAAGAGCTGCCAGGACAAAGAAGCGAAGGTGCGTACGAGCCGAGGAAGGGACCGGCCGGGCCGGGCCGAGGTCTGTGAGCCCGGCACCCCAGACGCACAGTGGCAGGCCAGCCGCCCGCCGCACCTCTGCTGCCCAGGTTCCTCAGCAGCGGGGGCGGGCAGGCAGGTAACGGGGGCGGCCCCGGCCCACAAGGCTCGTAGCCACGGATCGCCTCCTGCCCAGGAAGCTGGCCGGCCTTCCAGGTTGGCAGCGTCATGGCTTCCCGTGGCGGTGAATTCCGTGGGTTAGCTCTGCCCTGTGTGAAGAAGCCCTTCCTTTGATCTGGCCTCGGCCCCCGGCAGGCAGCCTCATGGGGTGACCACGGGTTTGAGCGCCACGGGGGAGGGAGAACAATGCCTCTCTCCCCACTTTCTCCACATTGCGCATTATTTTAAGCACCTCTGCCGTGTCTCGCCATTGTTCCGAGCTGAACAGTCTCGGTTGTTGCAGCTGCTCCCCCTGGGAGCTGCTCCAGCCCCCCGATCCTTTTCCTTGCCCTTCTCTGTCCTTTCCCACCTCAATGTCCCTTTTCAGGGA